AGACTGGGTGGTTCTTCCACTCCACTTGGCATTAGCTGGAGTCCCCAATCAGGCCAGCTACCATGTTTCCCTGAAAATAAGACAGGGTCTTATATTTATTTTTCCTCAAGAAGACACCCTAGGGCTTGTTTTCAGGGGATGTGTTATTTTTTTTTAAGTACGGTACAAGAATTTACATTTATTCAAATATAGTAAGTAAAATTAGTAAAATGGCAGCCACAGCTTTCCTCCTTCCCCTTGGGGACACAACACCTAAAGCGGAGCGTCCCGCTCCTCACTTCACTGAGGAGACTTTCCCCTCAAAGCCTCAGCCTGCAGCACGCACAGGATGCCGGGACCCAACAGGGGGAGTGACCTTGTTGGTGGGGCTGCCCGCACCTTCCCGGTCACCTCTGGGATAGTAGCTGTCACGATGGGGCAGATGAGAAGGGCTGTTGGTCTTCTTTACGGCTCCATGACAAAATGCATGGGTTGTGCAGATACACTGTGCAGGCACATCCCTCACTAGGTCTTATTTTCGGGGTAGAGCTGATAATGCACAAATATTTAGAAATCCTGCTAGGGGTTATTTTATGGGTAGGTCTTATTTTCGAGGAAAAACAGTGTGTTCAGCCAGCAGAGAGGCTGGGCTGGAGAGACTAAGAAGGCTTCACTCATATGCCTAGTACCATGGGGTCCACCACAGGTGGCTTGACTTTCTTTGTGGCATGTCCACAGACTAGTCCCACTTTTTGCATGATGGTTAGCTTCAAGAAGGAAAGTGGAAGCTGCCACACTTCCTAAAGGGTATGCCTAGAACCTCTGCCATATCCTACTAGGCCAAAGCAAGTCAGAGGCCAGCCCAGATTCAAGGATGGGAAAGAGAATCTCCCTGTTGTGAACAGAGTGGCAGGAGGGAAGGAGTTGGTAGTGCTTCTCTGGCCATCACACTAACCAAAGAACCATACTTGCAAATCACAAAGTATGAGATGATACAAGGCTTTGGGAAACAAAGGATTTATGGAATGGTGAGCTTTTGAAAGCAGGAGTGTTGAAGGACTGGCTTTCTTTCAGCTGTAAAGTGTGGTCACTGGGCTGAGCCAACTTGCTAACTTTTCAAAGCGTGGTCAGTGTGAAAGCTGTTGTTGACTGCCTTTCAGAAATGTGTCGCTGTCACAGATTGGGTGGCTTTCATAAACATGTGTGCTGATGAGGGATCGATTAATTTCTATCAATGTCTGATCAGTTGTCTCATCAATTTTGGTGTGACCAATTCATGGAGTGCAACTATGGCCAAGAAATAGTCTCAGGTTTGAATCTGGAGAATAGGAAAATCATTGAATTATTGAATAGGAATATTCCTATCAGCTAGAGTATTTCTTTTAAGTATTCTTGAAAGTATAGGCTTCATTCTTTTTAACAGATTTGCCTTGTCAGTTATTGGACTGTCCCCAGAAAGTACTGATTTCTATTTATTTTTTGATTGAGAAGCCTGAGGAATTTAGAAAGTTTCTTTTATTTCTTTATTTCACACAGGCTGAAATAAAGAATGATCTTAAAGGCCTATATGTAGATAGATGTTACCATAAGCCTCTATCAAGATGGCTTGGTCACACCAGAGCTGAGTAGAATAAAATATTGGTTACAATGTTTCCCCATAGAGTATTCAGAAGTTATAACATGTAAGCACAGAGTATATTAATTAATCACTAAATATCTTCATATTAGGTGTTCATCAGTGCTAAATATAAGACAAATCAGAATGAGGAATCATGCTTAAGAAGTTGAATATCAGTGAAAATAATCTGTATTAGGAAAGAAAAGCAAGATGCTGGCAGGGCTTAGGTTGAAGCAGCATTTGAAAATTACAGGGAATGCAGGCAATAAAATTTTATAGGTTACTAGTAATGTAGCTGGTGTAATTAGTATAAGTTTTTAGTTATTGGGTTATGTAAATTAAATATGACATAAAGATGGTAACTTATGGGAAAGTAATATAATTATAAGATGATATGGCAAAAACTAGCCATTATCTTGGAAGAACATAAAGGAATACTGTGGGGAGGAATCAATTAAGAATTTGATTTAATTTAGACAATATTTATTTCATATATTTACTGCTACATTCCATCAGGAAACATCTTACTTTGATGTTATAACAATTCAGCAAATAAAAAACACATTTCTTTGGGAAAAAATACTTCTAAGCGTAGGCTTTTAACATACAAATATAATATCCAAAATAAATATACTGAACCAAAACCACCCACCCACAAATTGCTGTATGCATCATTTCTGAAACACATAACATTTTTCAAAGTGTATCTCTACATTTGTGATGTTTGCAGTTCTAAGTAACAGAAAAACTTATTTTTTGAAGTGCCAATGAGTAAGTACCTTATGTTCTGTGGGCCACATGGTATCTGCCACAGCTATTCAACCCTGCAGGGGTAGTATGAAGACAGCCATAGGCAAAACATAAACAAATGGTTTTTGTTTGTGATAGTGTTCTCAAAACTTTATGGACACTGAAATGTGAATATCATATAATTTTCATGTGTCACAAAATATTCTTTGATTTTTTCATCCATTTAGAAATATAAAACTATTCTTAGCTTACAGGCTAAGTGGACAGTTGGCCAGATCTGTCTGACAGCTATAGTTTGCCAACCCCTGACTTCATCTCCTCAGGACCTGCCCCTGAATCACTTACAGGAAAATGAACTACCAAACCAAATCAAGGCATTAGCAGCAATATGGTGGGGGATGAATTTGGGTAACTAACTTTTTTTCCCAGCACGATTCAGGAAATACAAATTATAATAATAATATCTAACATATAGCTCTTCCTGTGTCTCAGACACTGTTCTAAGTGCTTTAAAAATATTAATTCATTTGGACGTCAAAGCAATCCTAAGGAGTTGTTACTATCACTACACTTATAGAAAAAGAACTGAGGTACAGAGAGGTGAAGTGGCATGCCCCATGCTGGAATCTGGGCCTAGACAGCAGGAGTCCAGAGTCCACACCCTCAACTATGCCGTGTTGCTTCTACTGGCAAGGACAAGGTAGTAAAGAACATTCAGGATGCCCAGACAAAATACAAACACAGATAACTCTGCACCCTGCTAAAACATCAACAGTATGATAGATAATATTTCATACATAGCACTATTCCATTTCATTGTGTAATAAATATTACTGTTTTCAGCTGCTTTAAAAACAGCTCAGGCTTTTGTTATAAATAAAGGCAAAATTTGGCTGACCATGAGACAGTTGAAAATTTTACAAAAACATTTTAGCTTCTTTTTGAAGTATTAGTTTAGTGACAATGTCTACATCTCATTTACAAATAGGATGAAAAGATATATTATAATTTAAAAAGAATATTATACTTACAATAATACATTAACAAGAGTCACTACTGAGACTTAGTGTGAGATATCTTCATATACATACCAGTTATTGAACTAAGGTTATATATTTACCTATGTACAATTATGGATGGGTTCCACATACATGCCAAATACCCACAAGATATGTTTTGTAGCACGCTCACAAAGTCCTGCATACTAAAGGACTCAGCATATGTGATGTTGCCTGATTTTTTAATGTATTTGTGCTTTTTAAAAGTTTCATCTATCTAGACATTTAAAGGTTTCTTTAAAGAAAAAAAATCTTAAAATCAGATCTGCAAGCCGGGCGCGGTGGCTCACGCCTGTAATCCTAGCACTCTGGGAGGCTGAGGCGGGTGGATTGCTCGAGGTCAGGAGTTCAAAACCAGCCTGAGCAAGAGCGAGACCCCGTCTCTACTATAAATAGAAAGAAATTAATTGGCCAACTAAAAATATATAGGAAAAATTAGCCGGGCATGGTGGCACATGCCTGTAGTCCCAGCTACTTGGGAGGCTGAGGCAGGAGGATTGCTTGAGCCCAGGAGTTTGAGGTTGCTGTGAGCTAGGCTGACGCCATGGCACTCACTCCAGCCTGGGCAACAAAGTGAGACTCTGTCTCAAAAAAAAAAAAAAAAAAAAAAAAAAAATCAGATCTGCAACAAAACTTCTAGTATAATTGTTTCTCTTGTTCAAATTCTTTGAATTTTTGTTAAAAAACTTTCAAGCATTTAAAGTATCTATTCAAGTACCATTGGTCTGTCAATGAAATATCAATTCTTGATAAAGGCTTCTACATCTGTCACGATCTTTGTAGTAATCCCTGTTGAATTCTCTGATATAAGAGCTCCACTTGTGTAAGAGATTTCTGAATACTCAGGATACTCAAAAGAGTTTCTCATATGACATTTTGCATGTCTAGTGTTGGCTGCCCTGACAGAAAACTTCTTGACATTTATTTTACTTATAGGATTTCTCTGTGTGGTTTCTATGCTATAAAACAAAGTATGACTTCTTTTTTTTTTTTTTGAGACAGAGTCTCACTCTCTTGCCTGGGCTAGAGTGCCATGGTATCAGCCTAGCTCACAGCAACCTCAAACTCCTGGGCTCAAGCAATCCTCCTGCCTCAGCCTCCCAGGTAGCTGGGAGTACAGGCATGCGCCACCATGCCCGGCTAATTTTTTCTATTTTTAGTTGTTTGGCTAATCTATTTCCATTTATAGTAGAGACAGAGTCTTGCTCTTGCTCAGGCTGGTCTCGAACTTCTGAGCTCAAACGATCTGCCTGCCTTGGCTTCCCAAGGTACTAGGATTATGGGAGTGAGCCACCATGCCTGGCCAAAGTATGACTTCTAACAGTAAGGTTCCTCTCACATTTTACAAGTTGTATGATTTCTGCCACCTATGCTGTCTGATATTTAGTAAAGTCTACCATATGGTAAAAATTTTTCCCTTATAAATTTACAGAATTTCTATGTTATTTGTAAGGAAAGATTGTGACTAAAGATTTTACCATTTTGATGATATCTTTAAGAATTCACACCTCAATATCATTATGAATGAACCTTATGAATATCACTCACTATTGATATTTGTAAGGTTGCCCTCACGTGAATCATCTTATTATTCTGAAGGATGAATTCCGACAGGATTTCTCAACTCATGCTACTTGTCAGCTTTTCCCTTCTTTGTGTGTGTCTTCTGATGTGCAGTGAGTTGTGACTTCTGGATAAAGGTCTCTCCACACTCCTGACACTCATAGGGTTTCTCCCCTGTATGTTTTCTCTGATGTATGATAAAATGTGACTTCTGAGAAAAGGATTTCCCACATTCCTTGCATTTATAAGGTTTCTCTCCTGTATGGGTCCTTTGATGTAATCTGAGGACTGAATTCACAGAGAAAGATTTCCCACATTCTGTACATTCATAGGGCTTCTCCCCTGTGTGTTTTCTCTGATGTTTAGTGAGGTCTGATTTATAAAAAAAGTTTTTCCCACATTTATTACATTCAAAAGGTTTCTCTCCTGTGTGAGTTCGCTGATGAACTGTGAGGGCTGACTTCTGGTAGAAGCATTTTCTACATTCCTTACATTCATAGGGTTTCTCTCCTGTGTGAGTTCTCTGATGGGTTTTGAGATGTGAATTCCTAGAAAAGAATTTCCCACATTCCTTACATTTATAGGGTTTCTCTCCTGTGTGTGTTCTCTGATGTACTGTGAGGTGTGACTTCTGGGAAAAGGCTTTCCCACATTCCTTACACTCATAGGGTTTCTCCCCTGTGTGTGTTTTCTGATGTACCATGAGGTATGCCTTCACATAGAAGAACTTCCCACATTCAGTACATTCAAAAGGTTTCTCTCCTGTGTGTGTTTTCTGATGTTCAACTAGATGTGGCTTCTGGTAGAAGGATTTCCCACACTGATTACATTCATAGGGTTTCTCCCCTGCATGGGTTCTCAGATGTCTACTAAGAGATGACAGGTGATAGAAAATTTTCTTACATTCTTTACATTCATACGTTTTCTCTCTGTTATGAGTTTTCTGATGTATTGTGAGTTCTTCGTTTTTAGAGAAAGATTTCCCACATTTATCACAGTCATAGGATTTGTTCTTTGAATGAATATGCTGATGTACTATGAGGGCAGTCTTCTGGCAGAAGAATTTTCCACATTCCTTACATTCATAGGCTTTCTCTCCGGTATGAGTTTTGTGATGTTTTTTGAGTTCTCCATTCCTAGATAAAAAGTTCAAAATTCATTAATATATGAGACTTTTAAGGCTTTTATTTTCCTGCTGTGTGTATTTTCCAAGTAACTCTGAGGGCTAATTTTTAGAGATGTTCCCATATTCATCATATCCACAGGGCTTCTCCACTGTGAGCATTCTCTGACATACACTGTAGTTTAACATCTGATAGAATGAACCTTATCTGCATGGGGTCTCTCAACTGCCTGCATTCTATTTTGTGTATTAAAGCCTTCCTCATTATGTAATTCAGAAAAGTCAAAAGACTACTTCAAAGTTTGAATCTCCTAATCCTGAATAAGGTCCATATGAAAAATGGCATTCCCTTTTGGATTACATTCTTTGAGATTCACTCCAGTGTTAGTTTTCTCCAATTAGTATTAACTAGTGCTCTCCCATTTCCAGTAACCACTACAGGACTCTTTTTTACAAAGCTTCTATCTTAAACATTAATTCTTGAACTTGCCTTGAATTTCCAGCTTGGCTTTCCTGGTTTCTTGCTCCTAGGTCATGAATATTCCTTAGATCTTCTACAAAGGAATCCAAAATTTAATACTTTAATAAATCTTAACACATTATTATGGTCATAGGATTGATTCTTAGCTTCAGGCCAATCTCTCAAAATGAAAGAACTCTCAAATGAAAATTTCCTCTCTCCTATTGTTTTAGAAAAAAAAAACAAACTATAAAAAAACACTGTGGTGGACAGGGAAAGGAACCTGATTATAAACCCAGATACTCTGACACTTTTACAAATATGATCTTAAAAACTGGGAGGAGAAAGTTCAGATAAAAAAGAAAAAATAGGAAGCAGAGAACAAAATATATTCAAAGTGTTGCTAAAAGGGAATGCAGAAATCATAGAGAATGCTGTGAGTCCCTTAAGAACAATGAACAGGAAGTAGGATAAGAAAGAGCTGTGTTCATTGGAAATATCAGGGAAAAGATTAAATTGGATGAAGGAGCTAAAGTATAGGTCTTATCCCCTCAAACCTAGATTACTGTGTTAGGATTCTTAGTAGTTAGCAAACTATAAGCTTCTCCTTTGTTTCCTCTTTATCCATCTACAACAATCTCCATGTCAACACTAAAGTGATTTTTCTTAGAACATCAGTTTCCTCCTACTTAGGGGAATAGTCCTATAGCTGGGGCTTTCACTTTCCATCTAGTTGGCTTAACTGTCACTCGGACAGGAAGGCCCAGGAACACATACATCCAAAAGGAAGGATTTTTTAAAAAGCAGAGGGCAAGGCTTCTATCCAAGGATGAATTCACAGTTGCATCATCAGAGATTTTCAATCCCGAACTTAGACTGAGCACCAAATCCTGCACTTCCAAAGCAGCATTACTCACAACCCAGCACTAGCCTTGAGTTCTGCTTTCATATCTGGCCTCCTACATCCCTACTTCCAATTTACTACATGATCTTTAGAGATGAGATTATTCAACATCATTCTAGAACCTTCACTGACCTTAATATTTATTCATCTTTAAATGCATGGAAGCAAGTGAAAGACTATAAGCAGGGGTTTGGGGTTGGAATCTCATGGCATTTGTGGGTAACACATAAGAAAAGTCATTTGATGGGGACCTGTGTAACTTCAATACACACCAAATAAAATCCTATGTATGGAAAATATTTAAAAGGATGGTAAAATTGAGATTAACATGTGTTTTGGGGCCATAAGGAGAAATAAGAGGCAGTAGGCAAGAAAGGGTCAGAGACTAGTTCTTGACAGAAAATTAATTTAAATGTGTATTGAAATAGTGAGTCAGTATAAGTTTACCATGACAGGCTAGTGGCAATATAAGTTTGCCAGATTATGTAGCTACTATGAGAATTTAAATTAAGAATTTGGTTTTAAAGCTGGGGGTGGTGGCTCACACCTGTAATCCTAGCACTCTGGGAGGCCAAGTTGGGGAAGATAAACTGAGCTGAGGAGTTCGAGACCAGCTTGAGCAAGACAAGACCCTTCTCTACCAAAATCAGAAAAAATTATCCTGGCGTGGGGATATGTGCCTGTAGTCCCAGCCACTTGGGAGGCTGAGACAGGAGGATCGCTTGAGCCCAGGTGTATGAGGCTGCAGTGAGCTATGATCACACTGCTGCACTCTCCCCAGGGTGACAGAGTGAGACTCTGTCTCAAAAAAAAAAAAAAAAAAAAAAAAAAAGATTTTGTTTTTGATTCTAAGAAGGAAGAAAGCAGAATCAGAGGAACTATTTTGTAAGAAGATAAAATATGGGACCAGAATACAAATACAACAAGGATGCTGGACAGGTCGATTTTAGGACTTCTTAGTGTAAAACTCAATGCTTAAGAATGGATGAGCCCTTGCAGGAGTTACTATGAAGCAAAAGATAGAGTCTGTCTCTTGTTAATCAAAATTCATTTCAACAAATATCTAGTGAGCAAGTAATACGTATATGTACCACGCATTGTTCCTGATCCTGACAACACATCAGAACACAAGTCAGAAAATACAAGAAAAACAATGAAAGAAGCAGGATGAGATTATCTTATTGTTATAACACTCCAAATAAGGTGCAGGAGATTGTAGGAAGGATAATTAGCATTTTGTGTGAAAGATAAACACATATCTTTAGATATGTGTTTAGATAGAAGGAAGTATCAATTCTGAAATGATACACTAATAACTGATGAATGGTGTAATGATTTATAATCTGCATTCGGAGTTTACAGAAATAATAGGAAGTTAAAACTGGTGGCAAAAATAATTGAGGCACTTTGTTGTTTGTAAAAGAAGAGAGATGTCATTTGAAAAAAAACTGTAAGTCAGATTTATAAACACTAAGATTATAGTTGTATACTCCAATGCCCGAGAGTAACTGGGAATTCTACAGAAAAAGACAAAATAAAAGACAAGGTTATGTAGGGATTAGAGTTTATATATAGGAAAGAAAAGTAAATCAATTTTTTAAAAGTCAAGCAAAGAAGAGAATTTAAGTGGAGAGACTGGAGGTGTGATTTAGGTTTCTGACATGTGTACATCAAGTGTCCTCAGTCATTTCCAGAAGGATACTTAAGAAAGAGAGTCCTGAAAAACATTTCAAAAGGCAAGAGGCACCAACCACCTCACCAATAACATGGAGTATCATTTCTTCTAGCTCACCAGGGCAGCTCCGATGTGGAAATTCTACTTCTAATACCCATGGCTCTTTTCCTTGCTTCAACTTGAAAACTCCATTTGGCTTATTCACACGATAACCTATTAATGGAAAAGATAAAGGAAATGATACAAATTGCTTGGAATTTAGATATTCTGAAGGATAAAGTAGTTTCAGGAGAACAATAAAGGTCCCACTTAGGTTTGGCAAATTTAGATTCTTTCAGTGGGGATGTAGGGACACAAATATTTTTTCCTACCACCCAAAATGGATTCATTAACTTTGACCTCTGAAATAAACCTGTTATCATTCAACCCTATACAGACCTTATATGTTACAGCAACTGGGAAAAGAAATGCAAACTAATGGGAGCTACATATGGAGAAGTTTTTCTCACCCACTGAGACGAGGTGACGATAGTTTTCCAGCATCACATCCTTGTACAGGGTCCTCTGAGCAGGGGTCAGTAATTTCCATTCCTCCTTGGTGAATTCCACAGTAACATCCTTTAGTGTCACTGGTCCCTGGAACAACATACTTCAGTTCAATCTGAAGTAACCAGAATGGAGTACTATTGAACAGACACATGTGAACTGACTCTTAATATACCAACTGTAGAGTTAACTTTGGAAAGTTATGGTATGCTGCTACATATTTGACCTATGTATCCTGCTGTACACATAGGTCAAATATTTGCTTAATACATGTTTGCTGAGCTACCGCTCCATGTCTGGAACTCCGCTGGAGATACAAAGATGATAAAAGCAACTATAGTCATGCTCTGCATAATGACATTTTGGTCAATGACTGACTGCATATATGACAGCAGTCCTATAATGCTGTATTTTTATTGTAACTTTTCTATGTTTAGATATTTTCTATATTTAGATATGCAAATACTTTCTGTTGTGTTACAACTGCCTACAGTATTCAGTACAATAACATGCTGTACAGGTTTGTAGTAGTCTAGGAGCAAAAGGCTATATAGCCTAAGTGCACTATTTAAGTTGGTATAAGTACTGTATATTCTATGATGTTTGCACGATGATAACATCACCTAAGAACACATTTGTCAGAACATATCCTTGTTGCTAAATGGCGCATGACTGTATTCCTGTTATCAAGGAGCTTCCACTTGACACAGAGGCACAGATATAAGTGCTTAAAATACAATGTACTTGGCAGGTGCTATGACAGAAATATGCACACAGTAAAAGATGGTCACAAATGGGGACAGTTATTTGCATTTTGTATTATCATGTTAGATTTTATTAGATGGTCAAATTGACTAATGTAAACTTTAGGAATAAAGGAAACACAGTTGGCAAAGGCATGGATGTAAGAGAAATGGCAAATTTAGGAAACTACAAATAACAGCATGATACGAGAATAGGGTGTAGAACCAAGATTAGTAAGAAGGTTATAAAGTCAGGTGACAGAACATGAAGAAATTCTGAATTTGTCTTTTGGACCAATAAAATATATTTTACATATTACTTAATAGATCTCTGCTTATTAATATATTACATACATTTATGTTAATCTGTTTATTAAAAATAACAAGTTTTTGTTTATGTGAGAAAAATATAAATATTCTGCTATTTCATACTATGTGGACTGTCTTATACAGTTTTGGGATGCTTATGATTCATGTGCAGATACAAATACAGACAGCGGGAGCTGCAGAAGAGACAGGTGAGCATTGGGGTTACAAGAGTGGATTAGTTTAGAAGAAAACTCTAAAGTGACAAATGGCACATCAGCAGGAAGATACAAATGTGAGTAATACACATTTGCATTAAGGTAGCAGCAGTAGGGGGAAAGAAGTATAACAAAACTTTGTAATTAATTTGGAAATTAATAACCACTGAGAGAAAGGGGAAGGATCATTCCCATTGTGTCTGTATGCTTTGGTAGTAGCTAGAGTCAGAATGCCAATTATTTTCATTCATATGTATTGATAGAAGTATTTAAGGGTATCAAATTTCCTCTAGTCATTACTTTATTTATATTCCATAAAATCTGAAATATAGTATTTTCACTTGAAGATTATCTTTGCTAGATATAAATTCTTGATTCATACTTTTTTCTTGAGTTTCTTTTATTATTTATTTATTTATTTTTATTTTAGTGTATTATGGGGGTAACATGTGTTAAGGTTACATATATTGCCCATGTCCCCCTCCCCCATCAAGTAAGAGCTTCAAGCATGGCCATCCCCCAAATGTTGCACATCTTGCTCGTTGTGGTTGTATATACCCATCCCCACATCTCCCCTCCCACCCTTCCGACACCCGATAGATGTTACTCCTATATGTCCACTTAGGTGTTGTTGAGTTTCTTGAAAATAATTGTTCTACCACTCTTGCTTTATATATTTATATGTTGCTTTTAAGAATTAAGTAAATTTTGTTTTCTCTCCTTGCCAAGTGACTTGGACTTTTTCCCTTGAGACCAAAAGTAATGTTTTTTCTTTTCTTTTAAATATGGCAGTTTTAATAGTCTCTCTTGGCATTTACTATTCTGGGTCAATTCTCTCTGGCATTCAGGGGCCCCTTAAAATATGTATATTCAGTCTTATTTATGGAAAGTTTCCTTGGATAATAGTTTAAATATAAGTTTACTTTCACTATTTAGTTTTTGTTACTTTGGGACTCCACTCTTTTTTCTATTTTTAGTACTATCTTCCTCATCCTTATCAATTCTGTTTCGTCCCCAACTTTGGTCTCTTTACACCCATCTCCTCCTGCATGTCATATACTGTACCTTCATTCATCTCTTCTCCCTTGGGCACACTGCAACTTATAAAAAATTTGCAAAGATATAAACTGTAACCAAAATGTTAAAAAAAACACATTTTTCGGTGTCAGGCAGGTGGGGGGGGAGGAGAGGATAGGTATATACATATATAATGAGTACGATGTGCACCATCTGGGGGATGGACACACTTGAAGCTCTGATTTGAGGGAGGAAGTGAGGCAAGGACAATATATGTAACCTTAACATTTGTACCCCCATAATACGCTGAAATAAAAAAAAATTGAGTTGATTTTCTATTCTGCTACTTATTTCCTGAGTTAATTCACCTATATTTTATATTTACTTGTTTTTCTATTTCTGTTGGGAGTCTTTAACTTCTGGTTTTTAAGGTTCTTTCCTATCTGAAATTACTTAATATTGGAGAAGTACAGTTTTCCTCTAGTTTGTTTATGTTTGGGGGAGATTTATATCAATTAAAAATGTTAACTCATACTTTCTGCTTTTATCTTATATTAGTATTATATAGATGTTGGGTAACTTATTTTATTCATGATCAAATGAAGATAAAAGTTGATTTTTATGGTGGGGAGTAGTGAAGGGGTTACTCTAGGTTTAGTTCAAAAGCTCCCTCTTCTGTTGGCATAGTAAGTTACACATCCTTCCATAGGACCATTTGGAGTGGTGTATTTAGGTTCTGTGATACTCCTGGGAACCCCGATTTCAGCAGCTTACTTTGTTATTAGCCTTCACTATCAAGAATCTGAACCATTCCTTCCTTTCCTGTGAGGTGTTACCTGCTCCAGGTTGCCACCTGTGTTCCTGCACCTATCCCTAATCCCTTCCTTTCTATTCCCAGTGCCAGTGCTTAGACCCCATACATCCTAGACCTCTTCTCCATCCTTCTCCAATCGGTGTTCTTTCCCAGCAGTATGCCTACTTGTAAAGTAGCTGTAAAGTCTGCTTCCTTTATGGCTATAATATCACCAACTCTTCTCTTTCCTCCTGATGTCCTGCTCTGGTGTCAATTCCAAACTGTTTCTGCCATTTGGCAGAAACTGATCTCCCAACTTATATGTAAATTGAAGTCCCTTAGTTATATAGTAGAAGCAGGTTATAGCATATTAAGACATTTGAATTTTACCCACTAACATTATTCTATAGCAACCAGGAAATCCATAAATTAAAATAGGAACACAAGGAAAATGATAAGTTGGGCAGAAGGAGGCAATGATTTGAATTTTGTTCATGCCGTGCTTAAAGTGACTATGGAACACAGAGCTGGAATTGCCCATTTTGGCAGATATACATATAAATAAATTTCCACAAATAATGTTTTCACATATATGAAAAAATTCTAGAAGAGCCCAAAAATGAATACATGGGAATAGCACTATTTGAGATGAGGGCAGGAGAAACTAGGCCCAGACAGTGAAGTCTGGGAGAGCTTCTAACTATAAGAGTAGGCCAGGAGGAGAGTGTTTATGAAACGAAAGAAAGGGAGATTCATAAATAAGGGACAGTTCTAGTTCAGAATCCAATTGTGAAAAGTCCAAATTTATTCTATCCCATAACAGCACAGCAAAGGTGTGAAAGCTGTAATCAGTAAGCAAGACTTTTGAGAAATTTTGAAAGATCTAGAATTTACAAGACTAGATAAAAGAATCCAGCTTCTGGACACACATCCTAACAAAGGGCTCATGAAAATTTCTATGTTCAGAGTCAAAGGGCTAGGGTTTGACAAGAGCAGAAGAATGACTGATTTTAGATACAGAAATTAATTAAAGATCTGTCAGTCAAGCTTAATGACTCCTCAGTTCTTTTTTAAACAAACAACATCCAGCAGAAAGCAAAAGATGATGAAAAGAGTTCATCACATAGAGAAGTAATTCAGGTTTCTGAATATGGGCACAATACAGCCAAAAAGAGAAATACAAAATTGTGGTATACACACACACACACACACACACACACACACTCTTTTACAATACATATGGATTTTTTTAAAATAAGATTTTTGTGAAATATATACACATACTCTTTTTCTAGAGTACAGCAATCCCACTTCAGCAATTAAGAGATCACTTAAAAGAATAATAAAACTGACATACAATTTTTCATATGTAGAACCAAATGCCAAAAGACAAAGGAGGAATACTCACACATTCTAAAGGACAAAGGTTTTGAACAAAGAATTCCATGCCCTGCCAAATTTTTCATTCAAGGATAAGAAAAAAAAAAAGATATTTTCATAAACACAAAGATGTTAAAAGCATATAAACTACTCACCTATTTTGCTAGGCACCCTAGAATACACTTCACAGAAACCATGAAAGAAAAGCACATGTCAAACCAAATATAAAAGTTAACAGATATAAAAGATTAAGAAATTATTTCTGGTATAGCCATGATAGGAGGCTGTGGAAATTAAAATGGCTTGCTTGCAGAGGAAGTCAGAAGGAAAAGACTGTTCTATATACTAAACAATTACACTGTCCTTCCAAGATATTTATAAATATGTTAGCAAAGTGCTCACATCTTTTCATGGAATATTCACTGAAAGACCATTTCTGGGCCAGAAAACAAACCTGAAACTTAAAGGAATTGAAATCATACAAAATATGTTCTCTGACTCTAGCAGATTTAAACTAGAAATCACAACAGAAAGTTATCTGGAAAATCAACAAATATTGGGAAATAATAAGCAAGCACTTTATTTAATATTAGAAAACAGTAATACTCCAAGTTGGTTCTCTGAAAAAGCCAAGAAAATTGATAAAACTACATCCAAC